TTTTCTGGTCAATATTTTTATAATCAATCCAGAGGCGATTCGAAAAAATTATTAAATATTTTTCTTAAAGTTGTCTCGACATAACTATCGTAGAGGTGAGTGTTCTCATATAATGTGAGTTTCTAACCTGAAGTTATTTAAATAACAAGAACAAGTTATTTCTTGTAAACACCCACAGATTCTACGACAAAAAACACACAGATTCTAAAACAAAATTTGTGCATTAAAAAAAATAATTATGAGTATATGTTCAGGCGGGAAAGCGGTCTATGTTGCACTGAACATGATATCAAAAGGAGGGAGGGGAGAGAGAAACATCGTCAACCCCTTTCGAACACTCTTGATCATCGTACTAGTTTGTACATGTCTCTTGCTAGATATTCAACTTATTCTGCTAGACATAATTTAGCTTCTCCATCGATTGATTTCCTTCTTAGAACCAGCGGCATATAATAAAACGAGGAAAAAACGAAGAATCCAATATATTGCTTTGTTGACGACAGGACACTTGTCTCTCGACATTCCATTTTGATTCCAGGACATCGGCTGCGGAGACACATCTTCACCGGCAGCAGGAGGTTGCATATCCTAAAGACTATCTAGAAGTGATTTCGAATTGGGGTGAAACTAACCAGATTCAATTCAATGTCACAAAAACCCAGGCATCGGTTTACTTCAAAGTAATGAATGTCTTCAAACCGGATTCAATAATGTCAGGGACAGACAATTCTGCGTCCTGCTTCGATAAGTTTGTTGTGGGTTAAATTGGACACAAATTTCTCTGGCACAATTATGTCGCTGGAATTGCAAAGGCTGCTTGTCAAAAGCTTGAAACACTGTTCTGAACCAGAAAACTGTACACAACTCGGCAACTTCTGATGCTCTATAAAGCCCAGATCAAACATTCTTTGGAGTATTGTTCTCATGTATGGATCTCCACCTTTGAGCATACCCTGAAGCTGCTGAATTCCATCCACCTGATTGAAGACGCGAACATCACTTGTAAGTAACCTTCATAGTCTGGAACATAGAAGACATATTGGAGGATTGTCCCTATTTCATAGATACTTTCACGGGAAGTGTTCAAGTGACTTGGCACATTTGATTCCACCAAGAGCGGTACATATCAGAAATACGCGAGGGCTGTGGCTGTTCATCGTTCTGAAGTTCAACTCAGTACACCTCGAACTTCACTATTCATTTGGAATAAACTTCTTGAGAACGTTTTACTCTCCAGCGATCCATATCCAATGTGAATCGCTTTCGCGCAGACAGCGCTCTTAGAACGCCTTGATGATTTTCCTGTAGTGCTTATATTTTGTCCCTGAAAATAAAAGTTGTCTCTGTCTCTTTGCTGTATTGCCTGCTGATGCGGTTTCCTATCCCGTTCAAGTCTCATCTAAAAATACAGTGTCACAGTGGATAGCCCTGGGCCGATCCCTACTTTGTTGAAACAGTTCAGACGGTCCTTTCATAAAGATTTTCCGTGTATGTTCCCAGATTTTTTTTTCCGTACTTTTCTATGTTTTTATGTTACATTTTCCAAACTGGTTTCGTACCAAAGATTTTGGTACTCCCACAGCTGGTTGAGGGTCTATGAACAAAATTGATGATTCGCATCTAGCACTCTCATCAGGTTCTTATTACCTGTGATACCTGTGTGTCCTGTACTCACTATACAGTCAATTTATTTCAGTACGCCTGTTTCCTCAGTTCTTCACGACATTTCTAGACCAGTTTTGATGTCACTTTTGGGTTTATGAATGCCTAAAGAGCAACTTGACTGTCTGTGAAAATGTTGTTCCGCCCATTTCGCTGAGGATGAAAGTTGATGTTCCTTACGCATGGAAATATTGCATACATTTTAGCTTGGAAGACTGGTTTGTACTGACCGAGTGGATCACTAAAATGAAAATCGCTCAGTACATTCCAGATCCCTCCCATGTTCGGATTTCAACTAGTTTGAGTACCTTGTGTTCCTGCCGAGCATGACCTCGGGATTACTGTTCGTTCTCTACTCTTCGCGGTTTTTGCCATGAATTTTGTGTTGAACATATATTTGGGTGTTATTTCGTCCAAGAATATTTTTGATCCTCATTCCTCCACATATTCCTTATTCCATATTCCACATATTCTGTTTTGCCCGAGCCAATGTTACTTCAATCTGAAACATGAAGGAGAAAGATTCACGAGTATCTCCAATTCAGTAACAAACATGCGTGTTTTTGCACCCTGTTTGGTTTGATGCATTTTTGTTCACCACACCATAGATCCGTATGTTATTATGAGTTCAACCACCATGGTGTAGAGCCAGTATATCATGTATCGCCTCTATCTCAACCTTTTTTATACTTTTTCATGATAATGGTTCCAGGTCAGTCAAGGATCTAGTATCACTCAAAGATATTGTACCTCCTCCGACAGATGTATATCTTCGCTTCAAAGTTCTTAAGCCCTCTATTCTGGTCCTTTTGATATGGTCCATTTCATTGGTATTATCTTCACTTCTTCCTCATTGGTCCATCTAGTTATAATATCAACAGCCACACTATATAATCACGAAGGAGTTAATGAAAAATGGTCTGAATATCTACTGTGAAATCTGAAAAAATTGTTCAGCAAATGAATTCGATTCTTTTATTAACATTACTGTTGAATCATCGGCCTGTGTTAGTGGTGAAATTTTGAAAAATGGCTGGTAGGCAGTTTATCCATAATTCCCTGCTTTCACAATTCTCCACTACCGTTTATTCTCATGCTATTTTCAACCTCATACTACTTTTATACACGATAAAGATTCTAGATGTTGACGTTTGCTGCGACTAGATACTCAACATAACTATTCAAAAAAGTAATTCAAAATGACGATAACGAATGATTGGATAACTTGATAGACCAATGCGTAAGTTAACCAGAATTATTTTCCAAACTCACCGAAAAATTTTCTTCTTTTCTCATTGAGTCGTCTCAGTCCTGATATCGCTTCAGAGAAAACATTATTGATTTCGTGGTATATATCTTCGAAAAAACTTGGGGTCACTTCTTTTCTATCCACTACATCATGCTTCTGTGGCTTGCCTGAAATACTCAGAATGCAAATTATTCACTTCAATTTCAATTCAAGTTCAACAGTATTGAAAACTGACTCTTCTCGTTCTATATTAGTTACCTTCGATTTTCCTTTGATTGTTCAAACAATATCTACATATAAAGTTTCTTCAGTTGTTTTTATGTGTTATGAAGTAAACATGATTCCAATAACAATATGGTATTGTCTTTAGTTATCTACTGAAAGTTAATCGAATCTCAGACAAAAATCTTCTTTCCAAACTTTTATAAAAAAGCCAAACCCATTTTTTTTCTGAAAGAGCTAACAATAACAACCTGTCCGTGGATATGAAGATTTAATGAAGTTCTGAAATATACATTACAAAAAAAAATTATGTGTACTCTAAAAGCTAACTTAACCAAGATTCTCCTTCAGCAGATGAATAATTTCATTTCTGAATACAATAAAACAGAGAAAATAATAAACCAAAAAAAATGATCCCTTGATATTGATACTCACTAACCAAAGTAAAGAGTCAATTAATGCGTCAAATAATTTTGAGGTAATTGTGAAACCCAATTTTTCTTTTGTCAGGTGATCGATTAGCCATGAATCAAATTCTCTAAGAGGTTGTTTGACTTCGTGTTAATTATTTAGGAGTTAATGATAAAATTCGAACTACCTATCATTCACGTTAGGCATGTACAAATAATAATAGTATTGAACTCACCACATGCAATACTGAAAAGAAGAATCAGTATCTGAAAACAAAAACATACCGTATATTTTTATTTTGATCACAAATAATAAGCTACTTACCAATAGCATTTTTTTTCAATAAGGAACCAACAACTTTCCTTGTTTTATATTGGAATTGAAAATGTTAATTTTCAGGAACAATAGAGTAATCAATTTTTATTGCGTTATTATTACAGGTACCTATTAACAGAAGAACACTTCGTGAAAATATACTAAAAACATGTTTTATAGTATTGTCATGGCTAGGAAATTCTTCTTGAATTGATACAGAAATAAGTTCTTGAAATGAATGCGACTTCGTAAGCTGGCTATTATTTTCGAGTAATTGACAGTTGATTTTGTAAGAAAGGTCTATAATTCTAGGTTTGGTCGAATCTATCTCAACAAAGACAGAGAACCGCATTCGAAGGAAAGGAATCTGGTAATATTTTACTCAAATTTCGAAATGCAAACTGGAATTTTAGTGATCCACCAGTACTATCTTGAAAAGCATTTTCAAACAGCTACCTTTCACCTGGTAATTTCTTTTGTGTTCAGAGAGACAGATACCCACACTTCTTTTCGTGGTTCCAATGGAGACCGACCCGCAGCTACAAGTAATACGGTATATTTTTCTTATTGATTCGGCCGTTACTTGATGAATATCGGTCGGTAGCCAGGCGGTTCGACGTAGGTGCTTTGTTCACTCACTCGAATTGACTGCTGTGCTGGTCGGTGGATCAAGCCCTAGTCTGAACGATCTATTTTCACTTGCTATCGTCCAACCCGTGTTAGGAATCACACGTTAAAAGGTAAGACCTCGTTAATCCTTAGCTCGCACAAGTTTCGACTT